ACAGTGGGATTTGAACCCCAGACCTCTTGCATGGCAGTCTGGCAACCTAACCACTACACTAAGATCGCCAGACCTAGCATCTGAATTATCAAGTTGCTTCAAGTGAATTAAAGTTTGATGATTCAGATCCATAATATACTTAGATTCAAAAATATAGTCAAGTTGAATTAGTTTATCTAGTGATTAGTTATTGTTTCTTGCTAATATGATAAGCTGTGTCTTTTCTTTTTGACTTTTATATATAGTAGCCATATCAAAAAGATTTTGCAACTCTATATAAGCATGCTAGAGTTTTTTCTATAATAGTCTGAGGTGCTGTCATATATGCTTTCTTCTCAGCGATCCTGTTAATTTCTTTAAACCTAACTACTATCCAAAAGCAATCTACAATTGTTTGTTATGTCTAATGATTCTTTAATGCTATTATTTTCCTTAATAATATCACTATAAATTAAAGATAAAAAATCTGAAGGAATTTCAAGCAAGTTAATAGAGTTATTGCTAGTAGATGCCTCCCTCAATAACATTTTGATAAGTAAGTCTTTAGCTAATATATTATATTTGGTTTTAATTTTTTTAGAAAATATTCTATCAGAAGGACAGAGAGAAACGCTTATTCACTTCCTTTCCAAGTAATAAATATTGTCAATAGCAGACAATTTTTGAGTGGCAGATTGGATTCTATACTAGTAAAATCATTAAAATTTCATTAAAGTTAAAATGTATTGATATTAATGAAAAATAAATAAGAACGAATTTTTTTCTTAAAGAATTGCATATTTTTGTAGAACGAATAAGTCACCTTATCAAAGTACTAAGCTACCTACTTTGATAGAGTATAGAAATTGTACATATATAAATCATACAACTTGCTAAAGCAAACTTGTAACAAATAGCTTCGATGACTATTTTATTAACACAAAAACAACTAGACAAGAAAAAGTAGTTTTGGCTATACTAAAAACAATATAAGCTATCAAAAGTAGAAACTACTGAATTTAACAGATGATCAATTTTGAAATAATTTGAAAAAACAATTTAGTTACACAAAATCAAACCAGTCTAAAAATAGTATATTTCCTATTATAAACATGTTTTATAAAAAAAATTATTTGAATTTCGTTCAGTAGACAGACTGCTATGCTATATGTTATTTTATGTTCTAATGTTAACTTATTTTGACTTTCAAATTTTCAGAGTATAATTACTACATAAATTAGAATTTTTTTCTTTATGTTTCACAGAATTTTAGACTCCAGCTTTTAGTTGAAAAGAGAAACTAAATAATAAATGAATTGACTCTTTACCAGAAAGTTATTTATTATATGTAGTGATGATAAGTGCTAGGGTTTTTTTTTATTTCTTGTTATATTTCTATAAGAAACTAGAACTTGTATAATGTAAGTACTAGTTTCTTTTACAATTTTTTTATTATTTTTTATTCTTTAACTATTGTAGGTTTTGTGCTTTGCTGGGGAATATAGAATGGCGTGATTCTAGCTTGCAGAACTGGTATGATATAAGTACTACCAGTTTCTTGTTCTATTTCTTATTATGCTTCGATTCTTAAACTAATTTTTCTTTCTTTTGTAGGTATTATGCTTTACTGGGAATGTGAAATGATACAATCTTGGCTTGCAAAACTGATATAATATAAGCACTAGTTTCTTTTTCTATTTCTTTGTTGTACTTCTATTCTTTTTTTTCTTTTGTAGGTTTTTTGATTCACTGAGAAATATGAAATAACAAGATCTTAGCTTGTGAAACTAGTATGATAAAAGTACCAGTTTCTTTTTCTATTTCTTGTGTTTCCTTTCATTTCTTTCTTTTGTAGGTGTTGTGCTTTACTGGGAATATGAAATGGTACGTTCTTGGTTTGCAGAACTGATATGATATAAGTACCAGTTTCTTTTTCTTTTTTTTGTTGTACTTCTATTCTTTAACTAACTTTTCTTTCTTTGTAGGTTTTGTACTTTGCTAGTAAATATAAAGTAGTACGATCTTGGCTTGCAGAACTGGTATGATAAAAGTATTAGTTTCTTTTCTATTTCTTGTTATGCTTTTATTCTTTAACTATTTTTTCTGTTGTGTTTCGCTAGGAATATGAAATGGCACAATCTTGGCTTGCAAAACTGGTATGATATAAGTACCAGTTTATTTTCTATTTCTTGTATTTCCATTCTTTAACTTTTCTTTCTTTTGTAGGTTTTGTACTTTGCTAGAGAATATGAAATAGCAAGATCTTGATTTGCAGAATTGGTATGATAAAAGTACTAGTTTCTTTTTCTATTTCTTGTTATGCTTCGATTCTTAAACTAACTTTTTTTTCTTTTGTAGGCTTGTACTTTACTAGAGAATATGAAATAGTACAATCTTGGCTTGCAAAACTGGTATAATATAAGTACTAGTTTATTTTCTATTTCTTGTATTTCTATTCTTTAACTTTTCTTTCTTTTGTAGATTTTGTGCTTTGCTAGAGAATATGAAATAGCAAGATCTTGACTTGTAGAACTGGTATGATAAAAGTACCAGTTTCTTTTTCTATTTCTTGTTGTACTTCGATTCTTAAACTAACTTTTCTTTCTTTTGTAGGCTTGTGCTTCACTAGAGAATATGAAATAGCATGATCTTGGCTTGCAGAACTGGTATGATATAAGTACTAGTTTATTTTCTATTTCTTGTGTTTTCATTCTTTAACTTTTTTTCTTTTATAGATTTTGTACTTTGCTAGGGAATATGAAATAGCAAGATCTTGGCTTGTGGAATTGGTATGATAAAAGTATCAGTTTCTTTTTTTATTTTTTGTATTTTCATTCTTTAACTTTTCTTTCTTTTGTAGGCTTGTGCTTCGCTAGGGAATATGAAATAGCATGATCTTGGCTTGCAGAACTGATATGATATAAGTACTAGTTTATTTTCTATTTCTTGTGTTTTCATTCTTTAACTTTTCTTTCTTTTGTAGATTTTGTACTTTACTAAAAAATATGAAATGGTAAGATCTTAGCTTGTAGAACTGATATGATAAAAGTACTAGTTTCTTTTTATATTTCTTGTTGTGCTTTCATTCTTTTCTTTCTTTTGTAGGTGTTGTACTTTACTAGAAATATGAAATAGCGCAATTTTGGTTTGCAGAACTAGTATAATATAAGTACTAGTTTCTTTTCTATTTCTTTGTTATCTTTCTATTCTTTAACTAACTTTTCTTTCTTTTATAGGTTTTGTGTTTCACCAGAGAATGTAAAATAGCAAGATCTTGGCTTGCAAAACTAGTATAATAAAAGTATCAGTTTCTTTTTCTATTTCTTGTTATGCTTCTATTTTTTTCTTTCTTTTGTAGGTATTGTGCTTCGCTGGGAATATAAAATAGTGTGATCTTGGCTTGCAGAACTAGTTAATATAAGCACCAGTTTCTTTTTCTATTTCTTTGTTATACTTTCATTCTTTAACTAGCTTTTCTTTCTTTTGTAGGTATTGTGCTTCACCAGGAATATTAAATGGCATGATCCTGGTTTACAGAACTGGTATTATAAAAGTACTAGTCCTTTTTCAATTTCTTGTGCTTCCATTCTTTAACTTTTCTTTCTTTTGTAGGTTTTGTGCTTTGCTGGAAAATATGAAATAGCGAGATCTTGGCTTGCAGAATTGGTGTGATAAAAGTATCAGTTTCTTTTTCTATTTCTTGTTGTGCTTCGATTCTTAAACTAATTTTTCTTTCTTTTGTAGGCTTGTGCTTTATCAAAGAATATGAAATAGCATGATCTTGGTTTACAGAATTGGTATGATATAAGTACCAGTTTATTTTCTATTTTTTGTATTTCCATTCTTTAACTTTTCTTTCTTTTGTAGGTTTTGTACTTTGCCAGAGAATATGAAATGACAAGACCTTGGCTTGCGAAACTGATATAATAAAAGTACTAGTTTCTTTTTCTATTTCTTGTTATACTTCTATTATTTTCTTTCTTTTGTAGGTATTGTGCTTCACTAGGAATATGAAATAGCACGATTTTAGTTTACAAAACTAGTTAATATAAGCACCAGTTTCTTTTTCTATTTCTTTGCTGTGCTTTCATTTTTTAACTAGCTTTTTTTTCTTTTGTAAGTGTTGTGCTTCACTAAGAATATTAAATGATACAATTCTAGCTTGCAGAACTAGTATAATAAAAGTACTAATTCTTTTTCAATTTCTTGTACTTCTATTCTTTAACTTTTCTTTCTTTTGTAGGATTTGTGCTTTGCTAGGGAATATGAAATAGCGAGATCTTGGCTTGTGGAATTAGTATGATAAAAATACCAGTTTCTTTTTCTATTTCTTGTTGTACTTCAATTCTTAAACTAACTTTTCTTTCTTTTGTAGGCTTGTGCTTCACCAAAGAATATGAAATAACATGATCTTGGCTTGTAAAACTAGTATGATATAAGTACCAGTTTATTTTCTATTTCTTGTATTTCCATTCTTTAACTTTTCTTTCTTTTGTAGGTTTTGTGCTTTGCTAGGAAATATGAAATAGTGAGACCTTGACTTGTGGAACTGGTATGATAAAAGTACTAGTTTCTTTTTCTATTTCTTGTTGTGCTTCTATTCTTTTTTTTCTTTTATAGATATTGTGCTTTGCTGGAAATATGAAATAGCATGATCTTAGCTTGCGGAACTGGTATGATATAAGTACTAGTTTCTTTTCTATTTCTTTGTTATCTTTCTATTCTTTAACTAACTTTTCTTTCTTTTGTAAATTTTGTGTTTTGCCAGAGAATATGAAATAGCAAGATCTTGGCTTGCGGAACTAGTATAATAAAAGTATTAGTTTCTTTTTTTATTTCTTGTTATGCTTCTATTCTTTTCTTTCTTTTGTAGATGTTGTGCTTCACTGGAAATATAAAATAGCATAATCTTGGCTTGCAGAACTGGTTAATATAAGCACCAGTTTCTTTTTTTATTTTTTTGTTGTGCTTTCATTCTTTAACTAGCTTTTCTTTCTTTTGTAGGTGTTGTGCTTTGCTAGGAATATTAAATAGCATGATCCTGGCTTGCAGAACTAGTATGATAAAAGTACTAGTCCTTTTTCAATTTCTTATGCTTCCATTCTTTCTTTTGTAAGTTTTATGCTTTGCTAGGGAATATGAAATAGTGAGGTCTTAGCTTGCGGAACTAGTATGAAATAAGTAACAAATTCTTGTTTTATTTTATTTTCTTAAGAATCCCCACTGACCATGCTCATAATTTATGTTTATTAACTGTCTACTTCTGAAATTTCCCATTATAAATTGTGATTTCTTGTATTCTACGATAATTTTTTTATAATTTTGTGCATTCTGTTATATTTTGTGGTAATTAAAGTCAATTTCTGTAGTTAGCTGTATTTAAGAAAAATTCTGCGATGTTCTGTAAAATACAGAAAATCATTATCTCTAGTTACACTTGATCCAGGGATGATGATTTTTTGTATTTCAGAACACCACAGAATTTTTCTTAAACGTAGCTAATTACTACAGAATTCACAAAATTATGAAGAAATCATCGTAGAATACA